AATAAGAAACTAAGCTTTCTAAGTACCTTCTTCCATGACTTTGGGCCAAATATTTCACCTCAATATGCCTCAATTCAGTTTCTGTATTCATAAAGTGACAATACGCCAAGTACTTACTCCTTAGGGCTGTTTGAGTACAAAACAAGTCTATTCACAGCAGAGGCTTAGTTGACACTGACACATAGTTGACACTCAATGAATGTCAGCAATTATTCTTATTGTTAATATCATTATTATTCTACTCTCCCAGTAAATGAAAATAAAAGGTCATAACTCAAATGGAATCTGAAACCCAAGAGAAATTTTAGAAAAAAATGTAAACGAAGATACCTTTACAAAATTCCATTTATGAATTTGTTCAGCACTAAAACGTATTAACACCATTGATCTCTGGGCTTCTTTGACAAGGTCATATAGTGGTAAGGAGCAGAGTCAACATTCAAATACCTGTTCCAGAGTTCATCATCTTATACAGGAAAGCACGTTGCCCTTTGTCTACAAGTGTTGCATTGCTAACTCAACTGTCCTCCAGTGTGAATAAGGTTTCTGTCATAGTTATGTTTTGTTATTGAGCTGTGTATGACCATCTTTGTGCTAACTAATGGCATGCAAATTCTGAAATGAAAACAGTGCACATAGTAGGTCTACATGGTTGACTGACAAAATAGTAACCTGCTTCATAAAACAATGATTTCCTCAATTGCAGCCTCCTTATGATACCTGTTTTTCACATGTTTTTATTTCAGGGTAGCCTGTACACCTATGTATACTAATATTACCATAAGATGTTAACTATTACTAGCAACTCACTTTCAAAGCAAGAGATTTAACCCTTTTTGGTCTGAATTTTTATACACAGTGTTTATAATTAGTCTTAATGAATAACAAGACCACATTTGTGTAATTTTCTTCAATACTCAATAGCCCTAACATTTAATGGTAATCCTTTTTATGGAATCTAAACCAGGAGCTTAAAATGCCAGATGAGGTGGCTTGCTTCCAGAGAGAACTGACATTTGTTGGTCATAAATAAGTCAATGATATTTCTTGTCCAGGACATCATATTTGTTTTCCCCAATGTCAGTCACACTTGAAAATCCAAAATATTGTATTTACTTTTGGTGAGGAGTCTCGTCATTTGCCACACCACCACCCCCCACTTCACAGAGCTAGAAAGGAAAACATGAGCATATGACTTAACTGCAAAGCAGAACTGCATCTGGGAACTTAACTGATATTATCATGCCTATCCCTTTCACTCTCATTCTCTTCTCATCTTTTTGCATTGTTTTCTTCTGTTTTCCTTCGTCCCATGCAAATTTTTCCTTTATTGCTGCTTTAGGCACCTCAAGGTCGCCATACAGAGTGAGACTTTCTCTAAGCATATATGAATTTGCATCAGCAAGTTTTCAGTATTTTATATCATTAGATACACATTATTCCATGTGTGCATCCTCAGCCAAATGCTGTGAATAATGGAATAGAACAAACTTACTGGATAGACTGGGGCAATGCCCAGTGAAGAACTAGGAGCGTATGTTGGACAAGAGACTAAATCCTATTTGGACGTAAAGGACTATGTCAAAATGGAAGGGTAATAAAGTATAAATAGATGTATAAAAGACAAAGACAGTCATTATATGCATCTTATTAAATATAAAATTAATTCTATTTCATATATGTACATGTCTTACATGTCCTACTTTGACACTTAACTAAGCATCTCTTCATTGTGTGCTACATTAAAATAACAGAGATGTAGTAAATATCAAGTTCTGTTCTAAACCTATATACATATTAACTCTTTTAATAAATAAGTGCAACAAATGGAGAAGGTATCTTTTTGTGACATTTTATAGATAAGGAATGTAAACCACCAAGGGTTTAAGCTACATTGACAAGGTCATATAGTAGTAAGGAGCAAAATGAGAAATCAAATACTTTGTTTCAGAGTTCATCATCTTACACAATGTTATAACCACTTCCTGCAGGTGGTGTTCAATCAGAGTGTGCTGAATGATTTAATGACCAGAGATGTGATTGATACAACTTCAGCAACAGAACAAGAAGTTGAATTCAGAATTCCTGATTACCACTATAACATTTTATCCATCAGATATTATTGTCTTTGGAAAGACTTACTTCAATGTTCTTCTGATTTAATTTCTAATATTTTCTGACTTGCAGCATCTTTTCATTGCTATGCATTCCATCCTTACATTTGAATGAGAAGTGATTTTCTTTTAACAAGTGTTCCATTTATTTCATCTCATTTAGTTCAAGATACTCTTCTCAAAGCTCCAAGAGTCCAGGGAATTGTAAATTAGGATGCTAATCTATGAGATTCATTTTATCAAATGTTAACAGTGCTGTCAAAATATTAAAGATTTGATTTAATACTGTTAGAAACATATTGACAAATGGGAAATGTTCACAATATTTAGGTTTATGTCACATGAAAATGGTATATGCTGACACAAGTACATCTTGTTTTCTATACAAATATAATCATGTTTTCTTTTCCAGTTCAATGAACCATTTTCTGTATTGAATCAGATTTGAGCTCATCTATAGAATAATACACTACAGACTGAATCTAATTAATTTTAGCATTAGAACTATGCTTTAGTAGATATTGGTTCTATTGACATGCAGGCACATTAACGCGCACGCACACACACACAAACACACACACACACCCTCACACCCTGCTGGTGCTGTTCTCACATGCCAAATTCTTGCTTAGTTGACTCAGGGCAAGCAAAATCTCAGAAGAGATAGGACTTGAAGTTCACGTGAGTTTAAAACAGTCTAGCCTCAAAGCCTCAATCTAATACAGGAGAAAAGTTTAGGTAAAAGAGGAACAATTCAAAGTTTCTCTTTCCACCAGGAGATTCCCCCATGTTGTAAAACCAAGTTAGAGCTAGAGTTCCCTAAAGCTGCCTCAGAGGATGAATAAGTTAGATTTTCAGTATTTACAGCAATTGACTACTCCCTCAATTTCACTACTTGTGACAGATGTCTTAGAGATTACTGAATAGTTTAAACATGAGATCAGAAATTCTTAGTTATATATATATAGATATATATCTCCAAAAAGGGCAGTTTTATTTACAAATAGAAAAGAAGACACTCACATAGACAGAAATGGGCAGAAAGAGCTTCTGCTTTTCAAAAGGAAAAGTTTGTTAAAAGAGTCACCTAAGCAGACTCAGTCAAGCAGTCTTGGGACAAGAGCTGCTTGATTGGTTCTGGTTTTCTTTCTTCATTCCTATTGTTAATGAATAGAGTAACTCACAAGAAAACAGCCAATGAATAAATAAAAGATGAATGACCTTAAAAGGTAGGAACATTTTAAAAGTTATCATGAGTTTAATTTTGTAAACTATATTGGAAAATTTTTAATTTGTTAACTTTTTAGGATATATCCATATATAGTGAATATTACTAATTGTAATAATCACAATGGCAGTAAGAGAAATATAAAAAAAAACCCATTGTGATAAATATTCTATCTGTAATTATGACAAGAAATAGAATTTATAATTTGAGATTTTCCAAGAGGAAAAGAGTTAGAATTATAAAATAGTAAAATTGTAGCAGTCAGACTTCAGTAACATTAAAATTTATAGATTTTCAGTCACTTGAATAAAATTTATATAAACTTAATATACATATGCATTCATTATACTCTATGTATTTCTAAATCATGAAAACTAGGACTCTCAAAAATTCAAGCCCAATGCAGCACTGTGAAGATGTTCTCAGCCTCTTCAGTGCCGATTCGATCCCCGCCAGCTGCGGAGAGACCCACATGGTGTGGCAGATCTCTCCTGTCTTGCCCGCTGCTCCCCTCAGCAGTGTATTTCGTCAGTCTGCCTGTTCTGTTCTCCGCTCTGTCTCTGGTGTATCCTCTCACCCTCCTGCACATCTGGCCTGTACCCCAGTTCTTGTATGAAATAAATAAATCTTTAAAGAAAAAATTCAAGCCCAAGCATAAATCATAGAATTTCAGAAAATAAATCACAGAAGTTTAGTAGAGCCAAGCCATTTAAGTAATGTCACAAATGAATATCAATGTTGTCTTTTCACTTTTTAAAAATCATCCATAGAATTTTTTGTTGTTTCATATGAATATTCTGGCACAAATATTCTCTTAATCATCCCTGTCAATTCTGATCCCATTACAGTCTCCTTTTCTTTTAGAGCCACGAGTTTAAAAGCTATTTATACCATCATATTGGGTGTTAATAGTTCCCTCAATTGACATCAATATGCAGAAATGAACATTTAGAATCCAGTTATCAACTTTGTCTTCACTTAGAATGTCAGTCTCATTCATCTTCTCTAGAGCAAGTCAGTATGAACAGCACAGACCTATCAAGGAAAAATGAACCCACGGGACCTCTCATTGTTTACAGTTCTACTTAGAGTAATTATTAGTTCATTTTGTGCACAGACCTTTGGTATTCAAAATTTGGAAAAATTAGTTGTGATTATTATCAAGAAAAATGTCAGCTTCTCAGAGCATGTTATCATTTGGGAAATGATGATAGATATCAGTGATTATTTTTAAAAAATGATGCTAGTTTCCAATTTTAGAAATGGAAAAAAATGGGCAATTATCATCCACCTTGGGCCCTTGATTGGTTGTGTTTGGAAAGACAAAATAAGATTAATGTGCATTTTAACATGATTAGAAAAGTTGTATGAGAAAATGCTAAAAAGTCCACATTTGGCAGCTAGAGAACCTGTGGCATTGAACATCCATGTCACAAGGCCCTAAATAGAAGACTGAAATAAAAGTGAATGTAACAGAAATGCATGTTATCATGTAATAAGCTATGTTTTTAAATTTAGGGGTCAAATGTGCATAGGCTGACAGGAAAACAAGTACATACAGTCTTTGAAAGGCAAATAATAAATATCCAATGCTTTAAATATTAAGCTAACTCCCCCAGATTAAAATGCCCATGTTTCCAATTAACTTTCCATATGACCTGAAAAAATGATTGGTCTTCCGGGAGGCCATGGTTGGTATGAAGCCAGGAACCTGGTCCGGTCACCCAGAGACCATGAAATCTAAAAAAAGAACAGTCAGACAAAAGTTCTTTGATTATAGAGACTTGAAGAAAACAGCAATACCACTTAGAAATACCTCATATTAGGTACTTACTTTGACTACTATCAAACTAGAAATGAAAGATTCAGAAGAAGATAAATGATTATAGAAGAAAATCAATAAATACTTGAAAGAAAAACATATTTGAGCAGTTTTTATATCAGTTGTTATGCTAAGCTCTTGTTTGTTATATCCTTTAGTCCTAGAAATGAGTCATGTATAAAGTTCAGAACAATTTCTGCCTCACAGTAGGGCTCTTCTAAGGTAGCATCAGACATTACTATCATTACTATTTGCACCTCTATTACTCTTACTTTTTCACTGGCATGCAATTATAAGAAGTGAAGAAGAAAGGTGTGTGTTTGGTATGGGACTTTTATTTACTAAGTGCCTCCATGTGCCACATTCTAAAATGCCAATATATATCAACTTAAAATCACTCTGTAAAGTAATTTTTATTACCCCTAATTTATAGACAAGAATACCAAAATTGTCTTTTCTTCAATTATTTTTGTACTCTCTTCCTTAATTTTGCTCTTTCTTTCCCTCCTTTTTTTTTTCTCTAGATATTCATTTACCTGTTTTTGCCCAGAGAGTAAGAGAATAGTTGGTTTACTTTAGTTATAAGAATAGATATATTTTGGGCCTCCCTGGTGGTGCAAGGGGTTAAGATGCAACCTATGAAGCTAACCACAGCCACCGAAGCACAAGTTTGATCCCTGGCCTGGGAGCAACCCACATGGCACAGCTGACCTCTCCTGACTCGCCCACTGCTCCCCTCAGTAGTGTATTTCAGTCAATCTGCCTGTTCTGTTCCCCACTCTGTCTCTGGTGGATCCTCTCACCACCCACACCTCTGGCCTGTACCCCTGTTCTTTTATGCATAAATAAATAAATCTTTTAAAAATAGATACATTTCAAAATAAAATAAATGCATGCATGTGTTATATATATGCATGTGTATGATATACAATGTATTATATTTTATACAATCTTAATGAAGAGAAAGGATAGTGAAACATGTTGAAACTAAAATTTAAATTAGCAGACTAATACATGACACCTATTCAGATACAGAAGAATCATAAATTGGTCTTTAAGCTTCTTTGCATTCATCATTAAGAAGGATGAGCTTATTTTAAAGAACACATTACACACATAGGATAAAAACAAAATGTCATAAAAATACTCTTAATTTTTCCTGCTACTTAACCAAATAGAAGGCAGAAAAAAAACTATTCTGCTCCTGTCTCCTCTTAAAAATCACCCCAAAAAGAAGTATAAAAGAAATATAAAAATCCATCTTCTATGAAACAAGGCAACATCTGTAACCCTGAAACAATATAAAAAGATAGACTATAATAGAGGAAGGTAAATGACTTAGCAGATAAAAGGTCAAACCTAAGCAAAAAGAAAAAAGGATAATTTTATTTTCTTGGACAAACTCCAGAAAGGCTTAGAAAATGTAGGCACAAGATACACTTAAAGACTGAGAGTAAAAGAGGGGCTGAAATGGGAATTGTGTGGAAATCTGTTTCACAGTAATCAGAACTTCACATGCTGCTCATTTCCCTCCTAATTATGGGGCCAGGTGACAGTTGCCCCCTGCCTTTGAAAGAGTAGAATGTGTAGTCTCTGGAGAGTCTGAAACAGAGAGGTCCTCACTAAGGGAACAGAGGATGTGGTTATTGGAAGGGAGAGGAGCTAAAGACACTTTAGTAAGCACAGGAGTGTAAGATAAAGTCTCACTTGTTTGAACTAGCTCAGGCACTAGTAACTGGGAGTTTGCTTATTATGCAGGAGACTGAAAAATCCTGTTATGGAAACTGAACCACTCCAGAAAAAAATTCTATAATACTGGCAAGGGGCAAACATCAGTTCATAACATCACAGAGAAATTGATAATCTACAAGCTACCTCCATTCAATCAGGTTTTTAGCATCTTACTCTTAACTGTGATCACAAATTTTTAAAAGCAAAAGAACATGTAAAAGATATAGAAAGTCATTAAAAAGAGAATATAGGGCCTTCCTGATGGTGGAAGGGGTTAAGCACCGCACTATGAAGCAATCTGCAGCATCTGCAGCACAAGTTCAATCCTGGGCCAGCCAGGGAGCAACCCACATGGCGCAGCAGACCTCTCCTGACTCGCCCACTGCTCCCCTCAGCAGTCAATCTGCCTGTTCTGTTTTCTACTCTGTCTCTGGTGAATCCTCTCTCCCCAGCATCTCTGGCCTGTACCCCAGCTCTTGTATGAACAAATAAATAGATCTCTAAAAGAAAAAAAAATTGAAAAAAAATATAGAGTTAAATACTCACATTGACAATGTATGTCTAGATATGTATATTATTTATATAGCATATATAATATATGAGAGAGATTATAAAAGATATTTATCCTTGGGAAAAAACAAAATCATATTAAGAGAATATTCAAAGAACAAAGATTATTTCCTAGAAAAATCCATAATAACAATTTCAATATGATAGATAAAAGAGGAAAGACCAACAATTTACTTGTTTAAATAATTATAAAATCAGAGGAGCAATCTAAGAGGTCTGAAAATATGGCTTCAGAAAAAGAGAACAGAAATGACTGTTGGGAAACAAAGACTATTTTTCTAATTTATATGGACTTGACTCTCTAGAATGCAACACACATGAATAAAAAAGTTTTCTACTAAAGTACAGTACAATGACATTTCAGAACAGCAAGGGTAAAGAAAAATTCTGAAAAAAATGCATATTATATTAAAGAGTGGAATACTATAATTTCAAGAGACATAGCAAAAGAAACTTCTGAAATAAGAAAACAGAGATTCTTTTAATATTTGAAGAAAATATTTTTTTATTCAAAGATTCACAAAAACTTGTATAACAAAATTATCTCCAACAACAAGTGATGGAGAGAATACAAACAAAAAAGAATCCTATTACAGTCTTAAAGAAATGTGAACTGAAGAAACCATTATGAAAAGCCATCTGGAAATACCATATAACTCAGCAATCACTTTTAGGCTTATAGCCAAAGAATATGAAACCACTGACAAAAATCACACGTTACACAATATTTACAACATTATTTCCAAATGCCTGGATATGGAAAAAGCAGCCTAAATCTCCTTCAACAGTAAATGGATCAAAAAGATGTGGTATATGTACACCATGGAGTATTATATTACCATAAGAATGGAAGAAATGCACCATTTTTTAAAACATGGAAGGAATTTGAGAGGATTATGTACAGCAAAATAGAATGATAAAAATAAATATCATACTGTTAAAAGAAATAGAAGAAGACACAAAGAAATGGAGAGACATCCCCTGCTCATGGATTGGAAGAATAAACATTATTAAAATGGCCATCCTTCCAAAAGCAATATACAGATTCAATGCTATTCCAATCAAAATTTCAATGTCATTCTTCAAAGAAATAGAAAAATTATTGATGAAATTCATATGGAATCACAAAAAACCCCGAATAGCCAAAGCTCTCCTGAAAAAAAAAGAAGGGAATGGAGGCATCAGACTCCCAGACTTCAAACTATACTACAAAGCCATAATCATCAAAACTGCATGGTATTGGAACAAGAACAGACATACAGACCAATGGAATCGAATAGAAAATCCAGAAATAAACCCACAGATTTATGGTCAACTAATCTTTGACAAAGGAGCAAAGACTATGCATTGGAGCAAAGAAAGTTTGTTCAATAAATGGTGCTGGGAAAACTGGGTCGCTACATGCAAAAGAATGAAGCTTGACCACCACCTCACACCATACACAAAAATCAACTCAAAATGGATTAAAGAACTAGACATAAGACCTGAAACCATAAAATATATAGAAGGAAATATAGGCGAAACACTACGTGATTTGCACATCAAAGACATCTTTACAGACACATCACCCAAAGCAGTGATAGTGAAGGCAAAGATAAACAGCTGGGACTATATCAAATTAAAGAGCTTTTGCACAGCAAAAGAGACAATAACAAAAACAAAGAGAAACCCACCAACTGGGAGAACATTTTTGCACCCAACACTAATGATAAAGGACTGATCACAAAAATCTGCAAAGAGCTGATGAGACTCAACAACAACAAAGAAAATAATCCAGTCAAAAAATGGGCAGAAGAGCTTAAAAGAAACTTCTCTGAAGAGGAAATGCAAATGGCCAACAGGCATATGAAAAAATGTTCAACATCACTTGTCATCAGGGAAATGCAAATCAAAACTACCATGAGATACCATCTTACACCAGTGAGAATGGCACATATTAAAAAAACTAGCAACAACAAATGTTGGCGAGGGTGTGGAGAAAAAGGAACTCTTCTGCACTGTTGGTGGGAGTGCAAACTGGTCCAACCACTGTGGAAAGCTGTGTGGAGATTTCTGGACCTACTAAACATAGAGCTTCCATATGACCCAGCAATTCCACTCCTAGGTATTTACCCAAAGGACACAGAAACATCAATTCCAAAGAACACCTGCACCCCTATGTTATAGCAGCACTGTTTACAATAGCTAAGCTTTGGAAACAACCCAAATGCCCAAAAATAGATGACTGGATCAAGAAGATGTGGTACATATATACCATGGAATATTACTCAGCATTCAAAAAAGATAAACACATGCAATTTGCTGCAACATGGATGGCGCTGGAAGGGATCATGCTCAGCGAAATAAGCCAAAAAGAAAAAGAAAAATACCGGATGGTCTCACTCATAGCAGGAATCTAGAAAACTTAAATAAGGGACCAGGAAAATGAAAACTATAAGAAAGTGAAAATCAAAATCAACAAAAAACTATGAACCAGAGACACTTTTAGGGGGGGGGGCGGGAGGGGAGGGATTGGGGTCAGAATGGGGGGCGGCAATTGTATGGGGAATATAACAATAAAATTTAAAAAAAAAAAAAAGAAAATGCATACATTGTGCAAAAATTAAAAATGATGTAA